AATTTAATGAAGTTCCCCACAGTGTGGGGCATATAATCAATAACTATGTAGTATCTTTGTGTGGGCAACAGATTGGAACTAGACTTATCAAAAAAAAAAGAAAGAAAGAAAGAAAATGTTTGTTTATAAATAGAAATAATCCTAATGGAATCATTAAGACTCTCATGATCAAAACACATTTTAGCCTTCTTCTCTTTTTATAACCCAGTAAAAATATAAACTTTGAAAATTTTCCTGTGCCCACTTCAAGAAGTGGCTTTCCACTTTGTTTTGTATCATTTTGGGGGGGGTTGGGGGGAGGTAATTAGGTTTATTAGGCTTATTTATTTAATGGCAGTACTGGGAATTGAACCCCGGACCTCACACATGCTAAGCACATGCTCCACTACTGCATCATGCCCTACGCTGCTTTGTACTTTCCACTTCAACCAGACTGAGGAAGTACCAGATGGTGGCTAAGGCCACAGATGCTGGACCCCTCTGCTGGGTGCAGATCCAGCACTGACCCTCCGTGTGCCTCAGCTTCCTTGTCTCTAAACTTGAGATAACAAGAGAAGAGGTTTAAATGTGATGGAAGGTGTTTGTGCAGCTCTTGGAAGCACCCCTGGCTGGAGGCCCAGAGTGTTCCGTGGTCTACTGCTATTATCATCCACAGAAGCATCTCTTACAGCCAAGCCAGGTACAACATGCAATGGTGGAGGAAGTTCTAGAGAAGGAGTTGGGAGTACCAGGGACCACATCTTATCTTGGCCACCAGCTTGCTCAATATCCCGGAACAAGTCACTTTGGTCTTCATTTTCCTCCTCTCTAACCCAAGAAAATTGAAATAAATGACAGGTAAAGTCTACCTAGACTGGCATGTCTATTTCCACACATCCAGAACTGCGGAGGGTCTGAGACTTTGCCCTACTCACAAGCAGACCCATTAGCCTGCTGCAGCTTTATGAGTGCTGGAAGAAGACACAAGACTCCTGAGTCAGAGACCAAGGAAGTTATCGCTCACTGCACAGCAGACACTATGAGCTTCATTTTCATAACAGGCTACAAGCAAAGCTGCCTGACCTCTGAAGCAGACATTCTCTTTCCTTTGCTGGACAGCAAACTTACCTTCTGTTCCAGAGGAAAACATTATCTCATCTCCCAAGTCTGTTCACCAAACATCCTTGAAAGAGAGTCTGCTCAGATGGGCAGAAACGGCAGAAACCCACGGAGAACATTTCAGTTTCTTCCTGCCTCCCCTCAAGCTTGACAGTTCAGTTGAGCTCATCCTCCTGCCCTCAGAATAGTTCCTCTTTACATTTATGTTCCTCTAGGTGAGACCACTCACCCCCATTCGTCTCCTCTCTTCCCTCCCAACTACCTCCACCTGCATGGACAGTCGTGACATCTATCCTGAAACCCAGGCCTGCATTTATCAGGTCTCTCTTCCCAACCCATCTTTGCCACCTGCTCTCCAAGAGCGCATCTCTGTGTCATGCCCCTGATCAAAAACTGCCTGTGCCTTCTCACTGCCTCCTGGCTTAAGTTCTTAACTCCTTCAAGATCCTACATTCCTTATTAAATAGTGAGGATCTCCTGTATAGCACAAAGAACTATATTCAATATCTTGTAGTAACCTATAATGAAAAAGAATATGAAAAGGAATATGTATGTACGTGGATGACTGAAACATTATGCAGTACACCAGAAATTGACACAACATTGTGAACTGACTATACTTCAATTTAGAAAATGGAAAAAAGGTAGCGAGTATTTCCAGGAGAGGGAACTTAGGTCTTACCCGCTTTTCCAACACTTAGAAATAAATATACACAGAATAAACTGCCTGAGGGGCGTTTTAGCTTTCTAGTCTTCAGATTTAAAAGACGTTAAGTGTCTGCTAAGCATGGGATATATTAGAGGAAATCACAAGCAAGAATAAGCCATTAAACAGCAGATTCTCCTTTTTATAAAAGTTTCTTTAGAGGTTTTTTTGGAGGGGGTGGAGGAAAGATGTGGGTGTTTGCATTTGAGGGTTTGGATCATTTATTTATTCATTAACTACAGAAAACTTTGTTCAATCAGAATCTGCCTCAAACACCCAGAAGGCAGGGCTGCTCCACAGGCGGGTCAATGGACCGGCACTTGGCACCCCCCTCCCTGTGGCTGGTGGAGCTGGGAGGTGGGGGGAGCTTCCCCTTAGGACTCCAAGGCCCAAAGAGGTGAAACCCTGCACTCCAAGGAAAGGTGCCTCCTAAGTGGATCTAAGTATCACCCTTGGTCTGACAAGTATGATTGTACTTTGCAGGGCAATGGGACAAAGCATTTTAATTCAGGTCTGGTCTTTTAAAAAATGTCAGACATATGGAGCAGCGGTCAGGAGATCCAAGGAAAGCAACAGCCATTCCTTTCGAAGCAATCTTCGCCAGCTACGAGCAGGACGACCCCATGACCCCTGGTGATCCTGTTACTCGGGGTCAGCTCACACATCGTTAAAAAGAGTCCGTTTCAAATAATGGGCACTTTCCCCGAAAGACACAATATTCTTGTGCCATTCGTCTCGTGCGTTGTCCAGAGTCCTCCGGGCTTACTGGAATTTCTCTGAAACATTTCAGATTCCTCAGGAATCATTTTAAAACATTGGAATTTTAAATCCCAGCTTCAGGGGAGAGTGGCCTGTCTCTGGTTCTCCTCCCCCAGCCCAAGTCTCCTGCCACCTAAAACAGTGTGGCTGTCAGCTCCCATCTAGGGAAGGACAACCAGATCAGCTGCCCTGTCTCCCCTCTTCATCCCACATCAAAGCCACAGAAAGAGGGGGAGGGGAGAGCTCCGTGGTAGAGCGCATGCTTAGCACACATGAGGTCCTGGGTTCAATCCCCGGTACCTCCGTTTAAATAAGTTAAGTAAATAAATAAATAAACCTAATTACCTCCCCACCCCACCCCCAACAAATTTAAAAAAAAAAGCCACAGAAATAACAGACTGGGTTGTTACAAGCAGGGCTAGGCTGGAGCTGGCTGATAAGGCTCATGAGAACCCATCCTGCCTCTCTCTTCCCAAATCTGTGTTCAGTGGTATCACATTGGATGCCTAAAACCAGCCACAGTAGGAGTATTTACACCATGGAAATCAGCAAACACCAGGGCTCTCCTCCACCCATCCCCGGAGCCCCTTGTGAAACACTGACCAGCACACCACTGTTTATTTAACAACCAGCCACAGCCTTTTCTCATCTCTGCCTCATCAGTACCAATAAATAGAAATTCGAACAGCCCGTGATTTCTGCTGTGCTGCAGTTACAGTAAAACCTTCATGAATTCCACCAAATTAAAGAAGCATGACCTCTCCTGTTGAGAGCTTGGGCCGCCTTCCTTTTATCAAGCTCTGTCCTCTAGAACCATCTCTCATTTCACCCATTAAGGCACTTCCTAAGCCTTTCCCCTAGAAATGTGCAATAAAACAAACTTGGCTTTATTGCTGTCTCTCTCCAGGCCCCCTTGAAATTACATTTTCCAGTCTATAGCCATCTCCTCCACCCCGAGGAAGCCTGGGAGAGGAGTGCCAGGTTTGATCAAGTTTCACACTGTATTTTCATTTGCAGTCTTGCATGGACTCCCATTCAAGAACTACTTTGCTCTCCTGCTCAGAAGCCTCCAGTTGTAAGGGCTTGTGGTGGGCCCACTGGGAGGTTACGCTGCCTGATGGATTCCCGGTCTCTGCAGCTTCTTTCTGGTAATGAGGGAGGTGCTCTCTGGGCAAAGCAAGGACACTGAACAGGCTTTAGTGTGTCCCTAAAGGTCACAACCTCTCCCTGGGACCTTGCCAATCTGAAACATGCCTCCTCTCCGCAGAGAAAGAGACACAGTAAGGAGTAAACAGGCAGGAAGCCTGAGGTGGGCACTCACCTGATGGTCGTAGCTCAAGCACACCTTCCAGGAAGCCCCAGTCCCTCTACCCATGAATTCCCAGCCTGCTGGGAGAGCACATTGATCTGTCATCGGTGCTTACCTGGAGCTGGAGTCTCCTTTTGCCTGTTGCAATGAATTCAGCGATCCACATGGCTGTTAAGAAGCAAAGTGGTCCTCAGCCCCCTGCTGCCCTGCTCCCCAGCCCCTCACTCGTGTTGTCTGATGGCTCCTAGGTATTAGCTCACAACAGCTTGAACACATGCATTTTCCTAAGAAATTCCTGGTGACCAAAAATCTTTCAGAGCCCACAGGAATGGAGCTAAGCAAGTGGACATCAGTCACCGTCAGGCAGGTGGGATGTAGGAGATGGGCCCTCCCCACTCCTCAAATCACGCTACGTAAGTAACCTCTTCAGCCCCACGTGACCCACCTGCCCCCACCCCACCCCGTGAAAGACGCCATGTGGTGAGAATTGTTTAAATCCCAGCAGGCAGGCAATGGACTGTGTACTTCAGCTCATCAGAGGTCCGGTTGCTCCGTGGTCAGGGGTCAGAAGGAAACCTCAAGGACGGGCTTGACATTTCCCAACCAGCAGGTGTGAGTCAGACCAGCCTTGACCTCCCTCCTTCCTATGGGTGGGCAGAAGTGGAGGCTGCTGGAGTGGAGAGGCAGCACAGGCGGCCGGGGTAGGTGTGTGCACACGCCTAGGTGTGGGGACGTGTGTGAGTACGTACGCAGATGTGCTGGGGGAGCTGCGGCAGGGAGATCCGACGTGGGCTGAGCTGACGGGTGGACGAGGAGACACAAAGAAGGTCACTCGCTCCCCAGTGAATCATCAGAAGTTCCAACTGCGTCACCAACTGAAAGAGGGTAGAAACCTCTAATACAGCGAAAGCCACAGTGAAATGATCCTTAGCCTTGCTGGAAACCAGCTTTTCAGTAAAACCTCATGTACTCATTTGTCTCTGAACAATATCCAGCCCGATTTTTTCCATTCAAAGAATTTTCAAATCCATTTCCTTTTGCAAAGATCATTTGAATGGGTGCATGGTGTAGATATTATACTGGTGGCCATGCTTTCTGGGGTGTGTGTGTGTGTGTGTGTGTGTTTAATCACGATGCTTGCCCTTTTCCTGTGCTTCAAACAACCTTTTACGGGCATATGTACACAAGCCAAGTCACAATTTGGCAGCCCCGAGGAACAGTTTAGCACCCTGATGTACCCACCCAGCTAAGTTTTGCACCACCAGGAAAAAAAAAAAAAAAAGCTCTGTACTTGGTCCTGAGCTTTGGGATGAAAGCAGGAATTTTCTGACCCACAGTATAACCTCAGAACCACAGTGCCAAGTACACAGGGCAGAGAGCAGACACAGAAACTTGGTTGATCATCCTCAGCTGTTAAAAAAAATTAGAATTCTGATGATCAAAAGAACAATCTGAGCCCTAAATCCCCGTTGTTGCAAAACTATTTAAAAGAACTTAGATACCAGAGAGTTGCAGTTTTAACAGCCTTGGCCAGGGCTGTGGAGATCTTCTGTCCATGATGGTCATATCTAGAGCTGAAAGAGACTTCAAAACACAGCAGTTACATCTGGGGGAAAAAAGGGGCAGTTAAGGGGAGGGGTCAAAGGGGCCTCTGGGTGTCGGCATTATTTGACGTCTTGACCTGGGTGATATTGACACCGTAAACCCCAGTGTTTGCTCTGTGGAAATTCACGTGTTCTGTGTGCATTCCTGCATCTATGTTATCTTTTTTCTAATTTTTTTTCCTTGTTTAGTCCCATCTCTTCACATTGCAGAGGGGCAAACTGAGGCCCACACAACCAAGCTGGGAAGGAGGCGAAGAGTTAGACTTGAGCATCCTCATTACAGTATAGTTCTCTGTGCACCATAATTTAGCACTTAATACATGGCCGTCCGTGTTATATGGGTTCGTTGCATTTTTCCAAAAGTCTGAAGCTTCGTGTGGCACGTAGGTCCCTGCACACACACACACACACACACACAATGGCTGAGATCACGGTAGACACTGTTATTTCATCCTGGCCTCTGCACCACGCTGAGTGTTCCCCACTCACTCCCGTGAGCATGAAGGGGCAATCCTGCTCTAGCCAAGACCCCGGGCTCTGCCCTTGAGATTGCTCTCTTCTTGTCTCCCTGACTAGTCTCGTGCCTTCGACATCTGCCCATGACTCCTTCGGTTTGGAGACCTACAAGTTCCTAATATATCCGCACTCCACTGGCTCCGGGGGCATCCTCGCTGCCTTGGATGAGAAACTGCTCACACCGGCCCAAGTCCCCTCACTCAGGTCCAGCCATTTCCATGGGTGGGTGTGGATGAGGGCAGAGAAAAAAGATAGGACATTCAGTCAAGTGATGTATCAATAATTGGAAACCAATTAGATTCATAAGCTAGCTGGACAACTTCAAAACTAATTCAGTAAATGTCAAAGATGCTGGACCACTGGGAAAATCTTTTCAGGAAGCACAACACAGGCTGCTTAAGAAAGAAGGGGAGAAAAGGGGGGAAGGTGCAATGGGAGTGGGAAGGAACTGACTGGCAGAGCCTCAACCAGGAGGTGTGCTGAATGCACTGTTGGCTAAAGGGGTGGGGGGACCACGCAGGACTGACCATCGATGCCAGTCAGAATCCCCTCTGCTCCAAAACTTTCCTGCTTGACTTCATTCCCACCACCTCTCTCCAACTGGGGAGTTGGGCTCGATGAACTTGAAGTTCCCTCTTGCTCTCAGGATCTTCTTAACTCAGCTAAGAAAATAAACAGTGAATACCACAAGCAATCAAGAAAATGTGCATTCATAGCAAAGAGCTTTGCCTGGTCTGGGGGGACTGCATGCCCCATAAAGGATGGATTTCTGGAGGCTTATTCGTGTAAAATGCAGGAAAACGCTAACTGCTATGATACTTGGGATTTTCCACGTACATGCTCTCATACAAATGTCCTGATCAGACTTTCATGTGTCTGGGCCTTCTTCATCCAGGGCTTGCCTATACTTAGGAAGGTCACCTCGGATGCTAGGAGCTCTTAAACAGAAGCTAAATGTTGGCCCTTACACCCTAGTCTTTACATGCATATTCAGCTTTTTTAAGTGGCTCTAGTCCCTTGAAATGCCAGGTTAATAGAATCCAGGAATTCATGCCTGACCTCCATGGAGCCGAAGACCACAGCCCGATTTTGGCCTGGGTTCCAGCAGTGAAATTCAGCAACAATGTTGACATTCGAGATTGCTACTTCTGCTTTCTGTTTTCTTAGCAGTGAAATCCACAAACCTTCCATTTCTGAACCTTTGCCCAGGTCGGGAAGCTGAACCATCAAACTGAACTTTATCTTGTGAAGGTTAACCGGTTTGAATCCAAATACAGCCGTCCTATATACCTACCAAGATTTATTATCTATTTATGTCCACGTTTGCACTGACATAGTTTTAACAGCCTCTGTTTTACCAGAAACCATGCAGACCCAGATATTGTGGTTTTGACAACGTTGATATTGAAGAGAAATATGTTATTTCTCCAGTGTTGTTCTGGAATGAAGTGACCACATGTGAGTCTGTTTCTTATAAATTTAGAGGTTGCTAAGTGTAAGAGGAGGCTTCAGCCGGCCCCTTCATTTACAAAAGAGGATGCATGCTCAATGTCACACCTTGTTACTGGGGAAGGGCAACCAGGACCTCCATCCAGAGTGCCTCGTGCCATGCCACCCTGCCCACTCCACCTAGCACATAAAATGCAGAGAAAGGTATTTCCCAGAGGGTGTGGTGCCAAGCAGTCATGCTCACAGCCCTGTGGAGGCAGAGAAGCCATGTGCACACCCACTCCTTACCTGAGCACCCAGCAATCTCACAGAGAATATCAATAGTTCTACCCAGAAGCTCCATTCAGCATCCCACAGAAAGCCCTGCCTACGGGGCAACCCTAATGCAGTAGATCAGTCCCCAACATCCACTGGTACCCAACACCCATTCTGTTCTCCTTCTGAGATGCCTACTTGAGTTGCAGAAGCTAGAAAGCTAAAAACTACGCTTCCCAGACTCTCCTGCAACTGGGATGCCAGACGTGATGTAGTCCCAGCCAATCAGAGGCAGGCAGGTATGTTAGGAAGATGGAAGGAGATGGAGGTGACACTTTGTTGACTCCCCCTACTGATAAGCTGAGCCCTGGCACCGCTGGGCTTCCAGCAGCAGTGCTAGGAGCTCTAGCGTCACAGGTGTCCAGAAGCAGGGTACGGTGCATCCACGTCGCTGGTGTGGCCTGGTTCTGGGCCGATGGAGGCAGCGACGGCCTCCTGGAAGGGCAGCTTCTGGACTGCAGGGGCCAATGCCTTCCTTTTTATAGAAGAGCCCAGGTTTGCTTGGCAGTCAGTTTTGCGCTGTAGATTTGAGACTTGTTTTGGATAGTCAACCTCGAGTCTGTTCCCTCAGCCTTCTCAATAATTCCGCAGGTCACTTAGTACTTTGTGGAAAACAAGGCAAAACACTACAGAGGTCCCCCATCCAAAGCGGGAAGCTGGATCCCAAGAGGTGAGCATAAACAGGTCTATCGATCCTTTCCAGACATGCCAATGTTCAGAATGAGATGTCAGACTGACCAGGACCTTGCCAGTACTGACAGGTTCGGATACCAGCTGCAGAGGTGGCCGCAGTGGGACAACAGAACCCTCAGCTTGGAGTCTCTGGGTCTAGATGTCACTCCCAGTTTTGTCCCTTCCTCTTGGGTGACCTTGATCCTTAGTTTCTTAAAATCTTTGTGCCTTCGTTTCTTCACTTGTAAAAGTTCACATTCCTGTCCTCACAGGCTGTCCTCAGATTAAATGAGAAGGAAGGACTCAGCACAGCTGCAGACAGAGCACGCCAGTCAGCAGGCTCCTCGTGGCCGAGGTGACAAAACCCCCTTTAACGTGCATCAGCGAAAGCTCGGTCCACTGGTGGCAGGGCTTTGAGGGGAGTCCCTGCAGCGAGCCCAGGAAGTGCAGAGATGAGGCTGGTATCTCTCCATCTCCCTTCTCTGCCAGGGTTTTTTCCACATCAGCACTTTCTCTCGCCCCAGACTAGCTTAGCACATCAGTCACACAGAGGAATTGGCTTTAATGCCCTCTCCGGCCGCGGGTGGCCAACTATCTCGCTTAGCTGGGGACTGAGGGGTTTCCCGGGACCTGGAAGTTTTAGCACTAAAACTGAGAAAGTCTTGGGCAAACTGAGAGAAGGTGATCGCTCTCCTCCATTCTCACATTCAAAAGTAAGGGACTGATCGGCTCAGCTTGGGCGCAAGGTCACCCAATACCAACTGACGGTGGCCAGCAGTACAGGTCACACTGCAATGGCCATGTGAATTCAGGGGACAAGAGGTCTCCAGATAATAAGGGAGGGGGAGACACCAGGCAGAGAATTCCATAAATGTCCAGAGCAGAGACTCAGTGAATGAAGGGTCCTGCATTGTTTCATGCATTTCATGCCATGCATTACAGCAGCCTCATTCGTGTATCTCTACAACACAACACTAAGGAGCCCAGCGGAATCTTGACCCCAGAAAAAACGCAATGGATTTGCAGAGAAAAGGGAAAAATCACACAGGGTCAAAACACCTCGTTACCTCTAAGCCCTGTCATCTCGCTCAGCACAATGAGGTGCTCCCTTCAGAGGGATGAGCAGGAAACAGGGCCAGATGAGGAACGGCAAAGTACCCACTGCAAAGTAAGGACAGGGACCCACTGGACCACAGGTGGCAGACAGCCCTGCACAACCGAAACAGATGTTTCTCCTTTGCCCTGAAGAGGCAGGCAACCTGGTGCTTTCAGATGCTGGAAGGTTATGAAATGTATCTAAAAGATTAAGGCTCTTTGACCTGAGAAGGGCAGACAGTCAGAGTTAAATTGGACTCAGCCTTCAGAAATAAAAATCATTTAGGTGGATGAAATGGAGCATTTATCCTCCACAAAAGAAAGAATTTTTTTTTCAGTCTCTTCCTAAAGAAGAATTTCCAATGGCGATTTTACATTATTCATCAGAACAAGCCACCACAGCCAATAACCTGTACAAACAGAGACAGTGAAAAGCCTTTTTTGCCCGGTTGAAGGCACATCATTCATTCCTATCCAAACAGACCTTCGGGCAGCAGCACACACAGCAGATATTCAGGCTAACAAAGAGGATGCTTAAACAGCGGAATGCAGATTGGAACAGGAAAGCATCACCGACAATTGTAACTCCTTTCCTTACTGCAGCTGGGAAATCAGGCAATTCCCCAAGCTCTTTCAAACAGGGCTGAGCCACGAATTTTACAGAAACTTTTGAGGGCAATTTACACTCAGGGTTGGCTTTTGCTCTTCATCCCAAGGTACCTGAACAGGTAGGAGGGAGGTGCCAGTGAGCTCCTGCCCGTCCCCAGCTCTGATCTGCTTATCAGAAACCTATTTTCCAGAGAGACTGCTACTCCCTAAAGCCTCATCTCAAGTGAATTCTCGTCATCTTCCACATTCAATGCAGCTTTCTCAGAGACCTCCTGGACCCTCTCCAGGTTTCCCGACCACCATCAGGTGAATCGGTTCGTTCCAGCTTTCACCCCTCCTGCCCGGTCCCACCATGAATCTGGTCATCCCATCACTCTCCCTCTCTAGCCCAACCCCACTCTTACCCTGGAAGAAGCTTCACTCGAGGGCCCTGGAACAGCCCCCCTACACCTGCCGTCTCAAATCCTTGACCTCTTATCTCCATTGCCTTTATTCTTCACTCCTGCTCAGCCACCCGTGGTCTCTCTGCAGAATGCTCCACCTCTGAGATCACAGTTGGACATTCCTCTCTCAGATCCCGGCTCCCCTTCCTTTTAGCTTGCTCTTTCCACGACTTCCAATACCCCATTTATGTGCCCATTTATTGACGCCTGCCCCCCGCAACATTTCTTCATCTCTTTACTTCTCTCCCTATTCAACTTGGGTTCAATGATTTATTCAAACTTCCTCCTACCAGCCCCCTAAATTCCTTGCCCATTCTCCCAATCGCTGTCCCCAGGTGAAAGGTAGATGCCAGATCCACTCAAGGCTGCCTTCTTCCTACGGGCACCGGGACTGCCAAGCATTGCTGGAGTCAAGGGGGTATCCAGACAGATTGGTGCCATCGGGAAGCCATGCTCACCAACAACGCCTGGGCCTCTCATTCTCCCGGACAATCTGGCTACGTCTCCTTGATCGGCTCAGCCTTCCCTTCCCCGTAACAATTAGTTCCAACTTGTCTTCTGCTCAAATTTCTTACCTACACTCTACCCTCCTGACTCTCAGCTGGCGACAGAGAAACAAAGGCCTCGGTAAGAGGAGAATGTCTTTGACATCCACCAGATCGCCAAACCTGCCTGTCCTTCCCATCTTTCCACCTCCCATCCCAGGTGAGCCTCCGCCCCCAAGTTCTAGGTTCCAGCCTCTTCCCCGCGCTATCGGCTCGGCTCATCACCCTGCACCTGCCCTGCATCCGCAACCTCTCCTCTGCTAATGCCTCTCCTTTCAGCACGTAAGCTTCTCAAGTCTCTTGTATCTTAAAACAAACAAGCCCTTCCCACGGCCCCTTGTCACTACCAGCCACCACCATACTCGTAGCCTCACTCATGGCCACACTTCTTAAAGGCAAACTCACGTCTCCCGGCCCTTGTTTTCAGACCACCTGAACCATAATTATCCAGGAAGTTTTAACAAATACATAGCAGAAGAGAAAGAAGCTAGAAACCAAAGACTAGATATTATATTGATTCCACATACACGAGATTTCTAGAAAAGGCAAAGCTGTAGATACAGAAAGCAGATCAGTGGTAATCGGGGGTGGGGGCATGGGTGAGCAGGGACTGTGAGCCGGCACAAGGAAGCGCTGGGGGGTGATGGAAATTTTCTAAACCTGGATTGCAGTGATGGTTGCAAAACTACATAAATTTACTAAAGCTCATCAAACTGTATACTTAAAATGGTTGACTTCTATGGTATGTAAATTATACCTCAGTAAAGCTGTTGATATGTGTGTGTGTGTGATTTTTTTCACTCAGAAAGCAGAGGAAAATGAAGTCCTAAAACCTCAGGTCTGAGGGGACCGGGTTGAACCATAAACAGAGAGTTTGCATGAAAACAAGATGAGTCCTGCCCTCCATTCTGGATCAAGATCTCAAGATGAGAGAAAGGGAGAGTCAGAAGGGACTCTCAGGCTAGGCAAAGAGTAGGGAGCCTGAAAGGAGACTGAATGTCCCAGGTCTGCATGTCCCAGTGAATCAAAGCCAAGAACTTTATTCTTCCTACAGTAACAGAAACGACATAGGAGCCTCTGAAAGCAAGAAGGAGAGTCAGTCCTTAGCACTGAGGGTCCTTCCTTTTCCTACCAAGTCAGGCTTTCTACTTACTGGGTGTCACAGAATGCGGGTGGCTGGGAGAGGAGAGCATTATCTGGGGGAGATAAGGCAGAGCCTGGGAAAGCAGAGATAGAACGGGCCCCGGAGACAGCGTGCAGGGAGCTGGCCTCTGAGGTCTGCCCTGGCCTCAGCCACAGTGGCAAGAGTCTTACCCTGAACCCAGGGCCCCCAGCCAGGAGGGATCCTGGCCCAACTTAACCCACAGCCAGTCTGAGAGCAGAGTTGCTTGGGTGAGAGCAAGGGTGAGCCAAAAGCACCGGTCACAAATGCAGCGGCCCGGCCCTCCCACCGTCGACCTCAAATCACATCCTGAGTCCTGAGCAGGTGGGACCTCAGGGTCCCAGGGCAGCAGGAAGAACCTGGGATGAGTTAAGGCAGGGAACCAGGACACGACACTGGTGGTCACATGACTCTGGGCAGGTTACGTCCCCTCCCAGCCTCAGCTTCCTCCGCAATTTCCCCACTGCTAGTGATGGCACCGGGGACAGACATGGGTCATCCATGCAGCTCCTTGGAGCTGAAGTTCCGACTCCATTTCAGATGCATCAGCCCAGGATTTGGCTGCTTGCACCCCATCTCTAAAGAAGAGTTTGTCCTGTTCTCCCAGACACATCTCTCCTCTCTCCTCTGAGAGTCATGCTCTGAGTGCTCAGAGCCACGTGCCCCCCAGGAAACCGCTGCCTTGTCCACCCTTCCCAGCCACCCAGGCTTTGGGGAAGCTGTTTTCTTCCCTTTCTACACTCTGTTGTCCAACAGTTATGCTGGCAAAGCAAACACTAAAAGTATTATCTTTTCTCGGAGAATACATTGATCGAAAGGTCTATTTCCCTCTTCTGAGAAAGAGACCAGGGGTGAGACACGAGGGCTGGAAATGGACTTTTAACCAAAATGATACAAAATCGACTTGGACAGTCCCAGCAGATGAAAACAATTCCCCCAGCAAATAACTTTTTTTTTTCTCTTATGAGAAAGCATCAAGGCAACCCAAATACATACCTCGGGTCTTGGCAATTCATTAGCACCACCTGCAGAGCCTTGAAGCTCTGGGTCTGTCTCCCTGCGACCTGAAAAATCAATAAGGAATCAGCAGCTGGGCTACAAGGCTTCCTTGGCGAGTGGAGAAGCATTAGTGGGGCTTATCACTGGGGAGCTGGAGCCCTGAATGTAATCCCGATTCTAACCACAAATTCCAGTGCTAGAGGACACTCTCCTGGGCACTTCCTTTACTACCTTCTCTGGGTCTTCTTCCTTTTTAAAACTAGCCTTTTTTTTTTTTTTAAAGAAACTTGTACTATTTCACTTGGAATTTTTGCTCCTACTGTGGTTTGGGCATTTTTTTCTAACTTTCAGACAGCAATCATAACAAAAATTCACACCAGCACGGGGCTCCTCTTTTGGCCAAACAATGCAATAATTCTGATGGACTCAGTCTGCCGAAGTTGAGATTCTCAAATGGTCTAACACCCACTTCGTTAACATTAGAGCTAATTTCTTTTGAAGGGAGTTTAAAGCCGCCAGGACTTCGATTCTGGGGTTAATTGGTCTGTTTGCCACTGTTTGTCAGAACTGTCTTTAAAGAACATCTTCAAAGACTGCTCTGATACTGGCCCCCACCTTGTCTGACATGCCTCAGATGTCTTCATCAATGCCAAAAATGCAGTGAGTGAAAGGGCTTTTTACTTAATTATTTCTGAAAACCAGAAAGGGAATTCCATGTAGACAGATAATGAGAATTGACACAGTGAAATTAAAATGTGTGTTCAGGCAAAGAAAGCCAGGAGAGCTGAACTTCTAACTAGAGCCAGCGCGGGGGGGTAGCCCGTCCTGCCAGCCCATCGCACCAGAGCCCTGGTGCTGCGTTTCGTCTCTTGAAACAGTTTCCGTTTTAAGGCCCGTGCTGATTGGGTGGTGCAGGTCGCTTAGCAACCCACAGGCCAATAGTATTTGGCTTTAAAATGCCAACATCTGTACAGCATTCGAAGTACAGTTTTTAATTCAAACACTAATGTCTGGAGACAGGGAAGAGCATGTATCTTGTACATATAAAACAAAATGCATTTCCTTATACAATTCTTCCCCCCCTCCCCGCAAGCACTTCCTGGTTTAAGTTGCTGATTTCCACAACTCCATGTCTGCATTCCTATTTCTGGTTTCTTTTTTGGGTAGAGATGAGTAGAAAGGAAGAATAAAGTGGGACAGTTTTTCAGGTATTCAGAAGAAAAGTAGAAAAACGTGCACTTTATTTTAAAGGTAATTAGGAACATTTCTTAACAGAAAAGAAAAATCGTTTGGTCTCCATTTTGTTGAAAATTAGGGTAACTGTAGATCCAAGTTTCCTCCCAAGTCAGATAAGAAACAGGATCTGTCCCTTGATGACTATCCCGTGATAGGATTTGGTCTACGTGGAGACACGATTTGCTGCATCTGGAGGACTCAACACTAACTACTTCCTTGACCCCCAAATCACTGAACTACAACCCCCAAAGGAAATCAGAGAAACTCATACACTTTGTGATCTCTGAACATTGATCCCTTTTGAGGATGTTGGCCTCTATTATGTTAAACCCATACATGCCTGGGCTGTTTTTGGCCTCATCATACTCTGGCAATTGCAATTTCCTGTTCTTGCCACTGTCTAAATTCCCAGGTATCAGTATATTTGCATGTTGTTTGGGTAACAATGCAACAGAAACCCCCTCAGGGAAACCAGATTTGGAGAGAGTAAGGGCAACTCCAGAACAACACCTTTCTTTTAAGAAATCCGAATGGCTTTGCAAACTGATGCTATCATTCCACTGGCCTCTTGCTCGACTGAATACATTAGCCCTCACTCCTTCCAATATAGAGAGGTCAAATTACCTGCTGGAAAGCAAAGGAAACCCTAAATCATCTGATGCAAAAAAAGTAGCCAAGAGAACCTGAGCACAGAGGGGAACTTCAGATATCGGTTTAGGGGAGGGTCCCCTTAACCGGACAGCTTCTGAAGGGCTTCAGCCAGGAGATCCTCTGGCAGAAAAAAGTGCTGGGTGCTTTGATAAAACAAAAACACAAACACATTCCCCTCACCTTTCAACATAACACCCCAACCCGTTGTTAGATTTCAGCCATTGGTTATTGCCGAGAGCATGAGATCTGATTACTGTTATCTCTGCTTGCATAACTACAAATGTTATCATTACTGCTCAACTGATAGGCTCTGTTTTTACAAACACAAAGAAAGGCTGTATGTACACTTGCCCTCTCACCAGAAGGGCTGATTTAAAAGGGAAAAAAAAAAAGGAAAGAAAGAAAAGAAACGGGGGGGGGGGTGGCTGGGAACCAAGAGGGGCAGGCCTGCTGAATGAGCCTTTCAGAAAGAATTATGTGATAGGTTTTGTGTGTGTGCTTTTTTAAAACACTGCTGCCAAAGCTAAGAATTGAAAAGTATTCAATGGGCATCATGTCAGAAACACAATGATTTATTTTGCTGGTTCATTTTCAGACATGAGCTTTCTCCTTATTCCCTGAAATTTTGTTTTGGGCCCACATCTTCAAAATGTGAGGAACAGAAGTTATGCGGAGAGCCGAGTCTGATTCAAGATAAACAAGGATTTGACTCTAAATATGACAGTGGCATGTCCCTGGCCTCCAAAGAGCCTCGTCTGCCCAGACTGCAGGCGTTTTCTCCAGCCCAACCTGCCCCGGGTAGAATCGAGGGCCCCTCTGGCCGGCCCCAACCGCACAGAAGGTGTGGTTTATAAGCATCCCCAGCTCGACCATCACCTGCGGTGTCCAGGGGAGGCCTGGTCGTGGAGCTCCTGTTCGCCAGAGCGTGAACACACAGAGCAGGTTTGAGTCTCAGCTCTGAAAGGCGGGACTACAAGAAATGAGACTGCTTTGTTTTCCTGGTGTCACCCTACAAAGCCGAAGCCTTGTCACCATTCATTCCCACTCTTCCTCCAGGATTGCCTGGAAGAGCCTGAAGGCTCACTCAGGCCCGAGTATGAGAGGCAGGCCAGGGAGAAAGAAGGATCTAGCCCTCAAGGGGCCATCTCTCCAGACCACAGCTCCCAGGGGACTGTGCTGGCTGTCCCTCTGTCCGTGCCTCGCTTGGCCACCCTGGGGTCAGAGACTAAGGCAAACACAGAGTTGCTTTGGGCCCTCTCTTGTTTGGCTCCTTCTGGAACTCTGTGTTTGATATTGTTTAATAGGATATTTTTAAAATTGGGATCTAATTCAAAGGGGCTCCATGGCTTTTAGTGTATTTGTGAAGCTGTACAACCGTCACCACTATCTCGTTCCAGAATATTTCATCACCTCCAAAAGAAACCCTAGCTATTCCTAACTTCGAAGTCATCCTTTTGAATTCTGTCTTCTAAAGAGGGTCTCAAATTGTTTACGTTTCAAGCCCCATAAAAATTAAATTCTTCCCCTTGAGTCAGACACCTTCTGCAAAGCAATCTCAAGCTCCCGCTGGGCAGCCATTTCTACTCCAGACCCAGCTCCACTGTGGGGGGGGGGGGCACAGGTCCCATGGAACTTCCTCACCTGTCTGGGGCTTCTGGTCTTGCCATTCCTTCCCCCAGGGCACTGGGAGGCGGGGGTCCCTAGAAGGGACCCACCAGAACCTCATCTCTCTTCCTCTCCCGGGGTCTCTCCCCAGTCCTGAGAACTAAAGCTTTAGCTCTTAATCCGTTTCTCCTTTTAAAAAAGCTCAAAAGGCAAGAGTTTGCCTCTTTTGTTCTCTGACTTGTGTCTCCCTTCCCTGAGGCTGGGGAGAGAAATCAGCACCTGCTTCATCAAAGGTCACAAAATAATAGAAAGTGATCGTTACTAAAACCCCACCAGGGTCAGCTCGCCCATCACTGCCCGACTCCCAGGGAACAGCACAGCTCCAGGCCTTCAGAAGCTTAAAGGTCACCGCCCAGCTGCTTCTCAGAGGAGTGTCCAGGGTGATGCCAAGTGATGTCCGTGAGAATCATGCTCCCTCCCCAAGTAGAAAGGTAGCTTTATTATCCACATTTCAGAAGAAGGAGGAGAAGGAGAAGGAGAAGAAGAAAAGCCGTGTTTCCTTGCCACCACAAACTGCTGAGAGAGAAGGGTGCCAGGAGCTGTGCTTGTGTAGGACAAGCCCTACTTAGAAAGTCAGGGCCCTGGATCCTGGTCTACCAGGAAATCATTGGGGTTATTGATTCACTTTCTCACCCTGAACCTCAGTTTACCACCCACAAATCACCAAGCTCTGGTGCTAACCCTTTGTGAGATCTTATCTCCCTTCAGGGCTACACTTGATTTCTGCTTTTATTTGATTTTATCTAATTTAAAAGATTGAGAAATGGATGATGGCACAAGAGAGCCAGAACCACACCCCCCCCCTACAAGGGTGGCCCAGGCCAGACACATGAGGGTCACCACTGGCTCCCCTGGCTCCCCTGGAAGAAGACAGGCCAAATGATGGAGCTAGTCCAGGTGGAGGAGCCTAAGGCCACCACCCTCTGTATCGGAAAGGGCAGACCTGAGGTTGGAGCCATCACGAAGTGGCCAGATGACGTTGATGACAGTGACAATGACAATGGCAGCAGCTCTCCCTGTTTACTACTTGCTGGACCCTGTGCTGAGGTTTGCTTACTTCACATCACTATTCTATGATGGTGTTATTATCCCTATTTTGCAGATAAGGAAAAAAACACAATAGAGAGGTTAAAAATTTGAGCAGGGTCACACACTTAGGTATTGAGAAAGCAGCATTCTATCCTGTCTGCATCTCGAGTCCTGCTCTTAGTCATGAGTCTGTGCTTCCTCAAGCAAGCAGAGCCCAGAAGAATGGGGTGACCTCTGCTTCCAGGACACAGAGATGCCCTTCCTAGCCTGGACCAAACACTGAGGTGGGTTTGGGCCTCTCAGGTCAGGATCAAACTTTTATAGCTTTGTTTGTTGTAGGGCACTGAGGATATATGACCTCAAAAGCAACTATCTCAATTATCTAGCAAAAACAAATGAATCCCTACCTCATACCATAAAACCAAATAAAGTCCAGCTGTACCACAGATTAAAGAATATTTTGAAAGTATAAAAATACAAGAAA